AAGTGATGTGTTGAAAAAGAATTAAATTCTACATGTACGTACAAAAACGGAATGATGTGTTTTTCTGTAAAAATAGATCGGACTGTCGAAAGTAAAAGAGAAATAATAGGAATCGCAGAAAAATTACATTTTATAGGTAATTCTTACAGAATTTTATCACTGTTGAACAGTACTTTTATTAATTAAAATAAGTGTTTATTTTGGCCATATCGCTAATAAATTTCTGTAAAGGAGTAAAATTATATATATATTATTGTGCATATATATGAAATATAATCTGATAATTCAATATAATCATATAATTGTTTTAAATAATAATTGTTTATTTAGCTTTTCAAAACATACATAGTTTATGGACAGATATTTTTTTTAGATCTCGATGTATCAGCCATTTCGGAGCACAAAATTGTTCAACTAACTTATTTGGTAAAAAAGTCATTCGATAGAACATCTGCTTCTGATTATGGTCATATAAATTCTCACTTATTTACATATAAATAATATATTGTTAATAATACATATTGTTATTAATTTTGATCTAAAAGAGAATATCTCTATTCAAATTATATTTATATGTTTATACATGTATATAATATTTTAGAGTAAATCTGGAATAAGAAACGTTTCGTTTTTCAACTCTATGTGACAAAAAAAAATTATGTTGTTAATAAAAATATTCCAACAGAAATCCACTTTTCTTTTCTATTTCCTTTTAGATTCGAGAAACAAGGAGAACAGTAAACAGTTGATCGAAGGAGTTGATCGATAACCTATTTTTCCGCGGTTGGCATAGCGCCAAAAAATTCTTTGCAAGTGGCTGCTGACGTTTTTGATATCATAGAGTATACTTCTTGTCGTTGAGATAGGTTATTACAAATATTTTCGATAAAATTTCGCGCAATATTTAACAAAAACTCAGTCATAGCAAGACTAACTGTCTAGATATATGAATCTCAGTTGCGAGCTTTAGGGAACGTTGTAAGATAAAGATAAGGGACTTGCATTTTATTTGCACTAAACAATAATCATAAGTACACAATATTTGACACATTTAGTTTGTTATTATTTGTATCTGTTACTTTTATTTGATATTAGCGGATGTTTCTCTTATCAAACGGAATGAGATATGCATTTTATCAGTGGCGCATGGTGATGCACCAATGCATTATCACGTTATTGCAAACTTAAATACACTATGTTTATGCCTTGCGGCTATAGCTGGCCTTCGGTTTTTTCACATGAAATCAATATATACCAGGTTTCTTATAACGTCAATGCACTCGTACGTGGATAAGGAGAAAAGGCGATCGATCCAACGTATATTTCTTTGATATCGCGTCACGCAAAGCGGTAAGAATAGACGCAATTTGCCTCGGTTAAGTAAAAGATAATAGGCACATGTATTGCATTCCAACAGATTACTTATAATTTACATAAAAATTAAAATAAATTACTTTTGATTATCCAAATTGTTATTTATAATAATTTATTTTTGTGTCTTAGATTTGAAAAATTGAAAGCTAAAATTGGATTAATGATGTGAGAGAGCTAACGTATCCGCTGATTTACAAAATATAATAGTTTTGAGAAAAACGTATTTAAAGTATCACGTAAAATTACGTTCTCATTGGAGCAACAACACCCACGTGAAGTTGGCCCCCCAACATTAAAAAAAAAAAACTTTTTT